TTTTAGAAGGACTTTTATTCTGGAAAAAAAAAACACTGACTGACTGCAGTCTGACAATACACTCCAATAACAACAGCTAGTACTTATCAAACCTGTTATCAGCCCACAGTTAGTAGGATCAGGAGGAGTTAAATGTAAATCATTTTAAACTGCAGTTACTGTTGGCATATGGCAGGACATGGATGAGTGGTTATTGGCCTCACCAGTTCACCAGTTCACCAGTTCACCAGGTAATCCCTGCTCATGTTCTCTATGAGTGGTAGGAAACATAAAGGAAAGGGACAAGCCAGTGTATGTACGGTGAAATAAATAAACATTGAAATATTTATGAAAGAAATACTTTTTTTTTCACGTTTGACCTCAGGTTGAATTCTCCACAAACCCAAACCTGATGTTGAAATAGCAATTTAGCTTGAGGTGTTTCTATAACCAAAAACAGTTTCCTTCAGTGTGTAAATAGCAAGTAGTAAGTGTAAGTAAGTCTATATACTGTATATATATATATATAACAGTCAGTGTGCATCATTGGTATCTGATTAATTCCACAAGATTGATTAACGTGTCACTTTTCCCAGTTCTACAAAATTAGGTTGCTATGATTCGTGTTCACACCCACCATAGTTTTCAACCCTCTAATAAGTCGTGTCTTGCTGGAAATTATTTGCTACTTCTTACATCTTTTTTAACACAGACATCTGTGTGGTAATCGCTCTCTCTCTCTCTCGCTCTCTCCCCACAGCAGCATGTAACGCCACAGCACTGTGATGTCGGATCAACATTATTTATGGCGGTTTTCAAGAGAACAGCAGTTTTAAAAAAGCAATTCAGCAGGTGACGCACACTAGAGACACTAACACAACTGTTACAACAAGTGTGGTGCAGACAGAGCGTGCAGGCAATTACAAAGGTTTTCTGTTGAGGGAGAAGTTAAACACAAAATTGGACCATATTCAACATACAACCTACAGTATTTCGATTGGAATTGACACTGTCTTTATCTTGGAAGGTTACAGGTTCATGATGTGCATGAGCAGCATGTCATAATGGTGGTTTCCCTAGTTTGTTTGCTTCAGATCCCTGCTGTGAAGTGTTGTTCAGTTCTATTATAGCATTCATTATTTCAAGGGAAAATGTTGTCCTTCCTTCAGCATTGAACCACGTGGTGGCACGGTGGTTAAGACGGAGGGAACTAGGGTGGTGGCACGGTGGTGGCACGGTGGTTAAGACGGAGGGACTTACAGCAGAACTCTGACAGTATCCCCTACAGTAAACAATGCTCTTTATGTATTTTATATGTTGTCACAGCAGCACAAACATGCAGTTTCTGGGTGAAGTTAATTAGACACTCTAAATTCACTACAGGTGTGAATGTGAGTGTGAGCTGTTTCGTCTGATGACTGCTGTGATTGGCTCCGGTCGCCCTGTCGTCTTTGACAGGATCAAGTGGTGGAATATGAATGACAGAATGAATCCTCCCAGTGTCAGCCTGCATATGGATGAACACACAGACCAATCTGTGTCTCATTAATGTTGTGTTCCACCACAAGGAAGTGTTGTTGACATTTCCTGTGTGTGTTTCAGTGGTGTGTTTTTCTTTAACATAAACATATTGTGTCACATCAGACCAGAGGTCTCAAACTCAGATAAATAAGAATTTTATTGATTCCACACTGAGAAAATTGTTGTGTAAACGGCAGATCTACTGAAACAAATGTGTGGTTCCCCTGAGGCTCGAGCCCAGGACCGTCTGCCTGTAAGGCAGATGTGAAAACAAACGTGATAACAGCTTCAATATGGAACCACTTTAAAAAAACAAAAGTATCATTCTTCAATGACTGACTAAAGCATTTAAATACAAATACCTGAAGGGCAAAATTATACTGTTATTAACATCACGGGCCACACGTGGGTGTATGAGGGCCTGTGTAAATGAACTGAGCGTAGCACAACCAAAACAAATGCAGTTCCATGTATTTCACTTGATAAAACAGTTTACACTGAACACATGATCCTACGGCGAGGCTAAAAATATCTGTTGTGTATCCACCTGATTGTTTTTTTTTTTTTTTTTCATTTGCAATCCGATGCAATCTACCATTTGCATTGTTCAGTTGATATAATCACATACCTCATAACACAGTCATTTTTCCAGAGATATTCTCTGTGATGAACGACGAGTGAGGGACCACATGTGATGGTTGTAATTACAATAACCAAGGATGTGGAAAAATACCTAGAAGCGTAGAAGACTTCTGGAAAAAAAAAACGCAAGGCTGAAGCAGGGAGATTGACTGTCTGTCAAACAGGAATGAGAGAAAGCAACTTAATAACAAAGTCGCTCCCTCTAGCAATTCAAAACTTTAATTACAAAACACAATTGTAGAGCAGGAGAGCAGGACCCCCCAATATTACCTCGGCAACCTTGATACGAATCATACCAAGCAAATGAAGCATTCAAAAAGGGGACGGACGGAGGGCGGTGGGGGGGGGGGTACCCTTGCAGTGCAAGTGAGGGAGACAGGAATCAAGTCAGGGACAGAGGAGACCAGTGGTGCTGTGAGACGATGGACGGGGAGCCGCTCCACCAACAGCCACATGAAAATTGATGGAGGCTTGAGAAGCAATAGATACTCAGAGGACAGGAAACAGGCCGTAAAGCAATTATCACCATCTCTGGCAGTTGATTTAAGACTGTCCGAGTGAATAACACTGTGGTTCCATCACGTCTGAGCTCAATACATCAGCAGTTAATTTCTGCTTAAAATTTCAGCGATTACTTTCCATCACTGGGAAATGTACTTTGGAGATGTTCTAATTAGTGCAGCTTATAAATTTCCACTCACTCCCATTTTAAATGTTAAGTGTGTGAGTGAGTGTGTGTGTGTGTGTGTGTAGGAGGCGGGGGTGAGGGTGGGGTGGATCACTAAATAGCTGCTTTATATGAATTCGAAGTGTCAGAATCATTATCATAAGCAGTGGCCTGAACTGTTGCTCCAAAGCCCACACATATAGAATGAAGTAGGAATAATTAGGACACATTATTTAGAACAATGTTTGGAATAAGTTTACATTAAAGAACATACTGCACTTTGACCAGTGGGTGTGCAGCCCACCAGGCTGTTTGAATGTGAGCAAAGTTCTTCCCCATCTACTCGTCCCAAAGGAACATCTGCATAAATAATTAGCTTTAATTACACATTATTCTTAGACCATTAAACAAAATTATAGCAAAAGATAACATTTTTCTTCACAATGGCTTTAATTAAACAAAGAAAAGGCCCTACTGTGTGCTTTTTACAAGTCCAGGCTGCAGATGGCCTGTAAAGAGGACCCTGTGTAATAAAGGCAGAGCTTTACTATCTATTAAAATGCATTAACTACAAACAGTTTTTATTGACCTTTACGTTTAAGCACTGGTTTACATCAGACGTATACGTATACTATGGCTATTTCCACTGTGACGGTGTCTGATGAACACCATCTTGGGGGTTTAATGTCATGCAGATTCAGCAGTGGATTCTTTTCTTTACCTTTACACACTGATTTTTCTGCTCTGCACTCTGACTTTCTTCAGTCTTTAGACATTGTAATTAGGGCTGTCAAAATGTACGTGTTAATCACAATAATTCATTTATGAAATTATCAGATTAAAATATTTAACAGAATGATGGACACTGTTTTTTTTTTTTTTTACTTAATGGTTTAAATCCCATTAATTCAACTGATTTACTTTCAACTTCAGTTTAAGAAAGTGTACAAACCTTTATTTAATGTGTAAATTGACGATTACATTTTATTTTTATAATTTCAATCACCACTACTGTGTCAAACGTACAACTAAGTGAAACATGTAAAATTTAACAGTGTAATAATTACACACCCATACCAATTTACCATAATGTAGAATTTGTGGGATGTTTACCGGGATTGACGCCCGGGAGGAAGTTGTCATTTTTCAAAATAAAATAACCGGAAAAGCTAATTAAGATAAAATACATATTTTAATCAACTTTTAATCACATTAGCTCTGCCTTCCCCCCATTATTTCTGTAGGGACTGATTTTTGCTCTTTTCTGAGGGTGTTTTTGAGCTAATTATCTACTGTTTGGCTCTTTGGTTAATTTATGCATATTCGCCGAACGAGTGTTTTACATTACACACCGACTCTGTGCTTTGTAAAAGAAAACAAAGTGAATAATAATGACTTTACGTAATTATGTGTGGCTTCATTATAAAGCGCTGCCACCTGCGGTCACCAGCTTTACTTTTACAAACAACCAGGAAACGAGAATGTTAATTTGTTTGTGTGCGCGCGTGCGTGAGTGCGTTGCTGGAGATGCTGGAGAACCATGTGCTCTGTTACTGTGGCAAACTAAATAACAAGGCTGCCCTCTAGTGTTCAGATCCGATAATGGACGTAAAACATAGGGGGCAGTGTCTTGGACAAATGGTCTAGGACTCTAGGCTTTCTTTTTATTCCATTTACTTTCTCATATACTTCCGGCTTATACCTATACTACCTGAAACGTGACCTTTTAAGGCCAGATATACAATGACCATAGTTTCAATGTCAATGTTGGTTAAAACGATAAGGGATGTGATTAAAAACCCAACAGATTTATCTTATAGGACCTGTTTTGTATTTCTCCAACCATCTCAGGGTTTTTATTTACTTTTAAATATTATTTTTAGCCATTTAGTCTGTAGCTGTTATCTCACCAAATATTTATCTTCTACCACTTAATCCTCTTCAGGGTCATGATCCAAACAGACAAAAAAAAAATCTTCACGAAAATGCCCCAGCTCTTAGAATCCATGTTTTTGTGTTTTATGTTGTGATTTTTTTCTCTCTCTCTCTCACTCTTTTTTCCATTTGATTAAAACCTGTATGAAAGCATCTAAAATTCAACTCCACTTCACTGCTGCTGCAGAAATTAATAAGAGCTTGTTTGAACCCCTGGTATTTTAATAACTGTGAAAAAATAAAATGACACTCTGAGTTCACAGTAACACTTTATTTTCTTAAATACCACAGAGTATTAGTACAGTCAGCCACACATACTGTATTTGTAGAGGCAGAAAACATTCTAGTTGCTCTCATTCAGAAAAGAATAAAAGGAAACCTCAGGTGACAACAGTGGCCATAAATACACTGGTTATAAATATTAAGACACGCATTGTACTGTACACACACAGGGTGCAAATATTACACTGACTGCTCTTTAGTCTAAAACACAGTAGTGTTTATGTCACAGAATCGAGGCTGCTGACTATGGAGCTCTGACAGTACTGGAGCCCTGGCTACATTCCAGTGACCAGTGTTTCCAGGCTCAGTCCAAAACAACTGTGGTCTCCTCCAGGCTACTACATTACACAAAATAATGCGTAGTTATCTGTAAAAAGTGTGGGAATGAAACCTAAACTTCTATTGTTTTGGTCCTTAAGTCGATAAGAACAGTGACCTGGTCTCACAGCACAGGACTGGTCACTGACTGTGAGACCATTTTTTTGCTGTAGGATATAATTAGCCAATCAACAAAGACACATGCAGGTAACATTTTAAATGCACACATTGAGCTTCACCTTCTCACCAAATAACAAGTAATGATGGGATGTTTCTCTGGGAAAAGAAAACAGGTTTGTCCAGCTTACTCAGAAATTTGTCCCAGGATGAACAGCAGACGCTCCTCCCAGTGTGTAAACACAGCCAGTGTTGTCATCTCCACTTTATACAGTGCTGATTCAGGCAGTGCATGAATAGATAAGGTCAAAAAACGTCAAAGTCAACAGTGGTCAAAGTTTCATATTCACGGGCGGGCATATGAAATCAGTAACGTGTTTATAGCTAGATAAAAAAAAACAAAAAAAACATTTAGACTCAAGCCATCTCTGAATTGATTTTTCACTTGTTCCAACAATGAAGCAATTACAGATTCATTGGCACATTAAACACCACCATAACAGAGGCTGCTGCAATGCACGTAGATCATATCTGACATCTGGAGTTGGGTGAGATAGGACTCTAAACAGCATTACTGGAGGACTGTGTCAGAACAAAAGTCAACAGACGAGTATTAAAAACAAAGGGATAAATAGAAAACCAGGTGCAAACGACATCCTAGAGAAACACTGAGTATTTACAAGGTAAGAAAGAAGTGCAAGGCTTAGCTTTCATAGACATTCACACACTTTATAGCCACAGTACGTACCAAGAGACATGCAGAGAGGCACATACATATTCAAAACAAAATGTCAAAAGCAGAACACCAGTCGGACACGGTTTGTTTTTTATCCCCCAAAAAACGACAGTGAAAACTAATCACACAATCAAAGCACTGATTTCATGAGATGTGGAAAGTTCAAAGCTGAAGTTTCAGCCCTTGGAATAAAAAGGTTCCACTGCCATAAGAGCAAAATGACATCATAATTCACAGACCACCTTTAACTGATATGGAGTGCCAGCCTCACTTTCAACTTATTTCATCAGGTATTGATCACGAGAAGAAAAATTACATCAGGATTATAATATTTGGTTTTTCAACTGCGGTCTTGACTTTTCCGGAACATGCTCAAACATTTGCCCGGCACAGTGACAGTGCCGGGAAAAAAAGTCTGAAAGATGAGCAGAATTAAATGGAGGTTTTAAGAAATGTAGCAAGCTAAATATAAAAGCACCAGTTCAAATGAAGGAACTTTTATTTTAGTGTAAAAATACTTTGTGTTTTACTGCCAGCTGTTAAAAAGTGCCTAAATGTTTTGAGATGCTACGATTTGTTTGCAGCACTGATATTATATTATTTCAAAATTGAGGATTTGTAAGTTGAAAGGCATCTCTATTTTTCTGCTTCTTTTCAGATGAATATTCTGTAGGTTTGATCAAATATTCAAATCCAGACAAAATAAAAATGTTGCTGACTGTTGAGAGAGCAGAGTAAAGATGAAGAATCACTGCAGTGTTCAGCTACTATCTGTTTTCACAAATATTAGGTTGTGATATTTTTTCCTTTTTGCTCGATGAAAGTCCAAAGCATACCTTTAGCTCAGAGTTGTCTTGCGATCACCGTAACTGTCACAAATTTCCATAAACAAAAATATTTCAAATATTTTAATGAGTGGTCACTACAATGTGAAATAAATTACTTTTTTTAAAACTTTAATGTTAGGGTCTTACTCCTCCTTTTCGTGGAGAGCGACCCGTACACGCTTGCGTACGTAAAAAGCGGTCAGCGCACTGCAGCAGGCAGTGAAGATGAACAGCGCGACGGCATCGTGTGCGAGATCGCCGTGGAGGCGCTCGTACAGCGGACGGCGCTCTGTGAAGTCAGTCCGCAGGGCTTCGATCTGCGTCAGCGTGCACACCACCACGAACACGTGAAAGATCTGATGGCCCTGTCCGATGAAGTCACACTTGCCGGGGAAGAATCTCTCAGGGTGAGGGCAGCAGAAGAAATAGGCGCTTATCAGGAAAAAGACCACGTGATAGAAATGGTACGCCACCACCGGGTCGGAACAGCCTTCCTGGTAGCAGCTGTAGATGCGGTGAACCACGGGGCTTATGTCTAAACAGTAGGCCAAGGCTGAGGGCACCACCTGGAACAGCTTCAGGACAAACTTGGGGATGTCACGGCTGGCGTATTTACCGTAGCAGCAGCCGAAGCATGTGAGCCAGGCTAAGAAGGCTGCCGCAGGGAGAAAGAGCCCCTGGACTCGAGTGTGCCACTCCTTCTCTATGGCATAATAATAGTGCGCCAGGGCGCTGCCATACTGGTAGACCGCAACTCCAATGTAGTCGAGGAAGTAGAAGGTGTAACAGGAAAGCTCCGACTTGGCTGAGAGGAGGTGAGCGAGGGCGCTGAAGGAGAGGTAGGTGAAGGCTGCCAGGAGGACGATGAATAGAGGTTGAGCGTGAGGGTCTCGCAAGAAGTCCACCGTTTCTGAGATCTCCTGCCACTTCACCAGGATTATGAGAGCAGCCAGCAGGTGGGTCCACACGTTCAGGGTCTCATTGTGCCTCTGGAAGAGGGTGAGGAAATAGTAGCGCCAGCTCTGGTCAGGCTGTCTGTAGCCGGAGAGGATGTGGCGTTCTTGAAACACCCACGGAACATCGGACACCTTCACAGTGCAAGGCAGCGTAGGGAAGGCCGACTCCAGCAGCTGAGGGATCTGCCGAAGCTGCTGCGCATTGATGAACAGTCGACCAATCTGCTCCATCACCACCGTCGCCATGGTAAACTGTGGATGA